TACGTACACGGTAACCGGGCACCTAGCCTCAGTGTCTACGTACACGGTAACCGGCATCCGGGCACGTAGTCTCAGTGTCATGTACACGGTAACCGGGCAGTTCAGAACTCCAAGTTCAGTATTGGTCATTCGGTGTTGCCTTCATTCCCACCCCTCCCCCGACTGTACCTTTATAAAAAATCTATAACCCCCCCCCCCCCCCCATTCCAGAGCCCTATACTTCGCAGCGCACAGACTTTGAATGAACTGTGGTGACCCAAACCGGTACTCACAATCTGATGTGCACGCACAGGTTCAGTGACCGGTCAAGATGGCGAGCCCGACAAGACACTTATATGACTTTCTTTTTTTTCCGCAAGTGACAGCACAGGACAAAATATTGATTTATTTTCATTCCGGTAGTACGTAGATACTGAGACTAGGCGCCCGGTTACTGTGTACTTAGATACTGAGACTAGGCGCCCGGTTATCGTGTACTTAGATACTGAGACTAGGCGCCCGGGTACCGTGTGCGTAGACACTCCGTTTCATAAAAGGTGTTGACATAAGTCAGCCGCATGACACGTGAAAAAGTAAAAAAGTCTCAACAATAATTTGTGTTTTTCGTATACGAAATAAAACTCTGCTATACTGGAGACAGGAAGCAAGTGGCAGGCATTTTTTACCATACAAATATCTTCTCCCTTTAATGAAGGCAAGACGGCTTGCCTAGCCTTACTTAATACTTACTTACTTTTACTTTGTCATCCTCTGTTGGCGTTTAGCGTTGAGGGGAGATGCAGTTTTCTACGGTAGGCCAGCTCCACAGCTCTTCCAGTTGTGAGGTTATGTTTTCTTAGGGTTTCCTTGACACCCTCGATCCACCTTTTGCGTGGCCTTCCTCTTCCTTTATAGCCTGAGTGCTTGGTGTTGTAGGCTCTCGAGGCCGGCTGGTCATGTGACAAGCGCAACAGTAACAGGTGGCCAAACCATTTTATCCTCTGTCTTTCTATGTAACGCAGACAGGACTCAGTGCCGATAGCTGCTCTTACTTCTTCATTTCTCTGCCTGTCTCGTCTTGTGATGTTAAGGGATTTGCGGAGACATTTCATTTCGCTTGCGGTGATTTTGCTTTCATGGGTTTTGCTTAAGGTCCAGGTCTGGCACTGATAATTGATAACATAATGTTGGTATGAATATTGAGGTGATAAGCTGTCTCTTTGTGATTGTGTCCATGGAGATGTTTGGATGAGATAGGAGGGGTGCGAGCTGGTAGGTGACAGCGTTGGCTTTTTGAATTCGCATTTCTATTTCTCTGTCTATGGACCCGTTTTCAGAAAAAGTGCTGCCTAGATATTTAAACTCCGTACCTAATAAAAATGGCTTTACTGACAAACAGCAAAAAACAGGTGTACTGAATTGTAAATAATGTTCTAGTTTGCAATACCTAAAGTATTTGTATTTCTGTCGACCCAAAAGGCGTCTCATCTGACATGTATGTATTTTAAAACTGAATGTATTACTAGATCTAATGAGACCTGTGTACTCAACAGGTTTTGGTCAATAGAGCTTGACCCAAGTACGGCTAGACTGACAGGCTACCTGCTGTACTTAAGTACGACTTGCCACTTTGTTCGGGGTTTTTTTTCGGGGGAGGGGGGGGTTAGTTTCTTTTGGGGAAAAAGGGAGGGTGGGGGTGTGGGGGTTAAGAAGAGATTTTTGTGTTGCTGTTGCTTCGTTTTTTCATAATATTAGCTTTTTAGTTGCTGCTTTCGCCCAAGGATAAAATAGAGAATGTAAGATGATGAAAACCAAGCGCCACGGTAAAACAAACACCTAGTCTCCACCATTTAGAGAACGGGCGACGCTTCTGTCACAAGTTCACGTTGACGTCCATTGTTACTTTGTTACAGACGAGTAAACAAAACAGTCACTTCACGTACGATTTGTGTATGAGTTATGGGCGGGGCTTATATGTTATGATGGATCGCACGCTTCTCTCACCAGCAGTAGAAAATTTATTCGCCAACCCATTGGTCAACTTGGGTAAACATTCATTGGAGGGACTGATAATAACGACAGGTGAATGGACTATGACGCCCGCCCACAGCGCCAAGAGAATTTATGACAAAGCATCGGGCGATTCAAGACCACGCCTGGTCGCCTCCAGCAGGTAAAATCGGTTGTAGGTTGGTAAAATACGGTGGCCGCGGCCGCGTTGGACGTGTGACCGGTTTACAGTTAAATTATACAGAAAGAATATTATACATATGAGGGGAAATGGAAAGTGGCCGTCATGGCAGGTTTGTCTGAACAATTCAAATTCAAGTCACTAACTCAGAGACAAAAAGCCAGCCAAGGAGTGGAATGACATGTAAAAGACTTTATTTGATCTCGAAGTGATTTCAGACACCGGGTGTGCAAATAATATAGTTTTATTCACACCGGGTCTGCCAATGATAAATGTTTTATTCCCACCGGGTGTGCGAATACTTTATAATTTTATTCACACTGCGTGTGCGAATAAGAAATAATTATATTCGCCCAGGGTCATTTCGGCTACTAAAACTGCGTGAGGCGAGATCGGCAAATGGCCCACCTACAATGTTGTGTGTCTCAATGCAACAACAACTACACTCTAATGCATAGGAGAGCTATTATTCTAAAATCACGAAGATTGTTAATTTAAGAAAATGACCTTGTCTAGTGTATTGACTGACTTGGTCGAATTCAACAAGTCCAAGATTACAGAAGCGAAAGGAAAACAACTGCTATGTTTACATTCCTATGTTTATGATCACATAGACCAGGACAGCGCGTCGACCAATGTTACAAATCTGTGTCTTGGTTTGGAACTGAGCGTGTCAAATTTGAATGTGAGCTTGTTCTGTCAGCAAGTGTGAACTTCACTGTATTAGAAAATCGGTTGGGGGTGGGGTGGGGTGGGGCTGTTGTTACGTACAAAGACAAGCACCACACAACAGCACCAACCGAGTCTCTCTCTCTCTCTCTCTCTCTCTCTCTCTCTCTCTCTCTCTCTCTCCATCTTTCTTAGCCCCCTCTCCATTCTCCCCTATTCTCTTGTCACTCTCTTTCACTCACTTTGTCTATTTTCTGTTTGAAGGTATGTCTGTGTGGATATATGTGAGTCCCTGGGGGCGTGCCTGTGTGTGTGTGTGTGTGTGTGTCTGTCTGTCTGTCTGTTCATCCGTCCAACCGTCCATCCGTCTGTCTGTCTGTCTGTCTGTTCATCCGTCCAACCGTCCATCCGTCTGTCTGTCTGTCTGTCTGTTCATCCGTCCAACCGTCCAACCGTCCAACCGTCCATCTGTCCGTCTGTCCGTCTGTCCGTCTGTCCGTCTGTCCGTCTGTCCGTCTGTCCGTCTGTCCGTCTGTCTGTCTGTCTCTCTCTCTCTCTCTCTCTCTCTCTCTCTCTCTCTCTCTCTCTCTCCTCGTGTGCTATGCCATACCTTTCTCCGTCTTTGTCTGCAAGTGCGTTTGTCTATCTACCGTCTGTCCTTCCCTTATCTTCGTGTATATAGCTGACATTTAATAGATTCCTATTTACAATTTTTCTGCTATCCCAAAGATAAGTAAAACTGCCTTTTTAAAGAATTTTGGTTCCCTGAAATGTCCCTAATAACTTCATCAATGACACTTTTTAGTGGGTTGTTGGTGTGCGCTCTTTTTGGTCTGTTTCTCCTTTCAAATCAAACATGTATCCTTCTTATCCTTCCCCCTTCTTTTCTTTTTATTTTGCTCTTTAGGGGCACCTACAATTTTAGGCGCTTATAAGACCTATTTGTTTTTGTAAGTACTTTACTTGTACTTTTTTTTATTTTCTGGTCTCTTAAAAATGTCGAGGGGAGGTGTAGATTCCGGCATCGTGCTAGAAGTATGCAACGTCTGTGATTGACATAGCATGTTGTTCCAAGACCTTTTCAACCTCATCTAGCCAGGTCTTTCTCGGGTTTCCTCTTGATTTGAAGTCAGATTCACGGCTGTGATAAATAGCAATGTTATTAGTAAACCATTACTGTAACTGCTAGAATCTATGACCACAGACGTTGGTTTATGGAAGTGTGGAAAGTCTTTTGTATAGTGTACCTGGTTGTGTATTCTCTGAAGTCTTAAACCGTTACTTTCCTGTCTTAAGGGCGCCTGTGACGTGGTTAGGCTCTTTCGCCGTTGCACACAGAAGATGTGAGTTCAATTCTCCTAAGGGAAAATTATTATTATTTTTTTTAACATTCTTGATCTCCATCTGTCTGCTGGGATCTTAAGTCCCCCCAGCCGGGGTTAGTCCTGACGTGGAA